ATCCACTAGTCTGTGAGCGGCAGGAGGCTGTGCTGCTGTTGGCATCCCGGGCAGGGCACGGCCCGGGCAGGGGATGGAGCATTCCCAGCACAAAGAGCTTGGTGCCCCAGCGCAGCTCCCTGCGGGGCACGGCGGCAGGGGGGGGACATTTACAGGTCAGGGCTTAAGTTACGGGCGGTACGGACTGCTGGTGTTGGAAAACAGAGTTTCGGTCACCACGTTGTCATAATTTGTAAAAGCAGAGTTCAGCTAAGACAGGTTGGATTACTGGAGCAGAGAGATTCATGGCAGTTTTGATACGTCTGGCAAGTCTGTGAAAGTTACCCATCCACTTTCACATATTGTGGGTTGTCTTCTATTTACATGTATAAGAACCCCATGGAAAAAAACAAGTCAGGGCAGACCAAGCAGCTCACAAAACAGCTTTTGGACAGTTCCAAGAAACAGAATGAGCTTTAAGCAGATTCCCTGTTTAAATCCATCATCTTGCCACATCCTTGGCATAGCTAAATTTATGTAGAGTTAGGAACTGCAGCATTGATATGAGAGATAAGCCACAGAACTTTGGCCTAGCTTAGAGTTCACCTCACATCCCCAGTGGACTCTGAAGTGCACAGCTCACCGAGTGCCTGCTGCTCCTGTGTCTCATGAAAATAGAGAGGAGCAGTGGTAAATGCTGTGGACAGCTCAGTCACAGTAAAGAAACCTGGAAAGAAACTGTCTGCTTCACTGCTCTTGGGGTTTGTGCTTGGTTACCTTCTGCATCCTCTTCAAAACAGAAGAAAATCTGACATTTTCTTTTTTAAGGGACAAAAGAAGACTGATCCCTTAGTTCTAGATAAATGGTTATTCCTCCTAAACAGTGTAGTCACTGTTTGAATTCTTCAGGTCAGTTACCTCAGATTAACTTCTTCAGGACAGAGACTGTGTGTTTTTTGCAGCTACCATGTCTACTAGGTAATAAGCTTACAGCTTAAATGCCACTTAATGTGCAGATGCACTCCTGGTACCCAGATAGCAACCTTAAACTTATCACCTTGGGATCTTGTGTGTCAAGCAAAAGAAATCTCATAGTTTGAATCTTCTTAAGTAAGCACACTTTCAAAGGCCAGTGGTCTTGTTGAAGAATATGGGTCTTGGACAAGGTTAATGGAATGAAGGAGTTTAAATACTATGAATAAATGAGCCCTAACCATGTTTGGACATGGGGGGTGGGAGGAGCAAAAAGTCAAATTGAAGTTTGAAGTTAAATTTAAAGTCGTTCTACCTTGAAGTAAGCTAACTAATTTTTTTTTGTGGTTTTTTTTTCAAGTGGGTAACACTTTGGCCTTCAACTATACCTTATAGTTATTTGGGATTATTTGGTAGCTTCCTTAACTATTTAGTGGAAAACCACCACAAATGGGTATGCTATGGGTAAGTTGTATTTGACTGTATAATTATTTTGCCTCTCTCTGACTCTTGTGCTTAGTCTGTGTTAACAAGCTTTCCTGTAACCCAGTTGTTAATTAGATGTAAAGAGCTCTCCTTTCAAGCTCATTACAATTAAGGGTGTGGGGTTCTAGTATGTAGAAGACTAGACAGGCTAAGAACAGTATGGAAGTTTAAAAATTCAACATAGAACTTGATATCTTTGGGGTTACAGCAAGAAAGGAAAAATGTTAAGATAAAACTTTTAATGATAGTTATTAGTCCATTTGTAAAGTTATATTTGTACCACCTCCTAAAAGTGGTTCTTTTCTCAAGTTGTTACGTGAGTAGTCCAAGTTTTTCTTTAGGAATCTTCTTTTTCTAGTTTCAATGAAAAAATATTTTCTACCTTGCTACTCACTTATCCTGATACAGCAAGAAAGGAAAAATGTTAAGATAAAACTTTTAATGATAGTTATTAGTCCATTTGTAAAGTTATATTTGTACCACCTCCTAAAAGTGGTTCTTTTCTCAAGTTGTTACGTGAGTAGTCCAAGTTTTTCTTTAGGAATCTTCTTTTTCTAGTTTCAATGAAAAAATATTTTCTACCTTGCTACTCACTTATCCTGATCCCGTTCACATATAACCTGCTTTTACTGCATAGAGCTAAGCTTTGCTGGGTTACAAAACTTAGGTTTAGTTGTTTGAATTAACAAAAGAGCTGGAAAACACTTCTTTGTGAGCAGGTCTCTTACTTGCTGATGTCCTGTAAAGACAGAAATTCACAGAGCTTTCTTGTTTATATTACCATGCATGATGTAGAAGCTAAACCTTCATCTTTGCTCAGAGCATCTTTTGCTTTGGCAAGGTATTGAATTGATCCTAACTGAAGATCCTGTGTAACTTGATGGTTTTTTAAAAAATTCTCTATGAAAATTTCTAGACCAAGTTTGACTAATCAAGGCATATTACATATTCTGGATCTATACACACAGTTGTTTTCATAGAACTAAGAATCTTAAGTAGCTCTTTAGGACCACTAAAAATACTCATGTAAGTAAAAGGATAGATTTTGCATGCTTAGCTGAGATTAACTTGTGCTGCTTTCACTAAGCATACGGCTTTTTGGCTTAATCCAAGTACTGAAAGTTTTGGAAGCATGCAGGGGATACTTGAAATAGCAGGTTGAGGCATATTGCACGAGTTACAGTTCCTCTGATTGGCTCAGTAGACTTCAGTTTCTTTTAAGCTTTTTTTTTTTTCTAAGATGAAAAACACCCTAACCTTTCTAGGTTAAAGCAAGATGTCACTTCTATGCCTCCAGTTTTATATTCTCTGCATAATGCTTCTTGGATACAACAAAGTTCTTCCTAATTTTCAACAAAATAAAACATATTTTCTTTTCATTAGGTTCTGGGTGTCCTGGTTGATTCACATTGTAGAAGCTCTCTACGGTATTAAGTTATGCCAGTAAGTTGTTCTCTCTTCTCACTCCAGCATGAGTTCTCTGAAAAGGATTTCTGATACAAGTGACATAACCCACAGACTGATTTTGGTGGTTCTCAGCAGCAATATGAATTCAGAGGATACCAATTAAATTCTTGCTGCAGTGGTATTTTGCTGTCCTCCACAATTGGTTATTGCAGATTCTTCTAGTGGTTACTGTCGTACAGAGCAGCAAAACCAAGGAGTGGCAACTTGCAGAACTGGCAGCAGCAAGGTTTGCCAGAGCTTGTCTGTCTGCCTCTGAATTCCCTGTTCCCTGGGAAACACTGCTCCTCAGGAAGCAGAAGGAACAACTGATAGTGTAGAAATAGTCTGATAACTTCAGGTGTTGAAACTTCATGAGATCTTGCCTCATCAGAATTTTGATACGTGCTTAAACAATTGCATCTGTATTGTGAGAATACAATTGGTCACTTCTATTTGGGACTATTGAAGATCTACTTGTACCTACAGGTTTGTGGGATAAAATACTTGGACTAATCAGACTATGAAAGCAAGGCCAAGTCTTGCATTAGGATAGCAATGTACCTGGAAAGGTATGCTGTCCAAACACATCATCCTTCTGTTCATTTGAATTCTGTTTGTAGGAGTTCAGAAGAATGTAGATACTGGTTCTCACGCTCTACAGAGTCAGAGTCAGGCTGTTTGCCATCATAAAAATGGTGGTTTTCCACTTAATTTGGTTCAGTTCACAGCTGTCTGTCCCAGACTTCTCAGGTAACAGCTCTTGGAAGCAAAGGGATTTTGTTTCATGGAATGTTGTTAAAGGCGGTTATCAAGATACTAGAATATGGATGAATAATTTCTGCCTTCAGAATGAGAGTAATTTATTTTTTTAAAAGATCAGGCTCCACTTTTAAGTTATGTAGGTTTAAATTTAAAACTTCAAGTCTGATTCTGCAGATAGATAGGTATATAGGCTTAAGGTGATTTTTTTTTCCAAGCATGAGGAAACTTGAATACCATTGAGCATATCAACTGGGTGTATTGTAATCAATTTAACTAATGAAGTTTTGCAGAGTAGTGTTAAAGCCCATAAAAAGTAGCATAGATGGCCTGGCCATCATCATATCTTCAGGCATGCTGCTGCAAATGACCTAGCAGCTGTACTTCTGTAAGCACCAAACACCATATATTTTTACTGATGTAAAAGTGATGTCTACTTAGCAACATCACAAAGGAAAAACTAGTGAGGAAGCAGATACACATTGATTCATCAATAGTACTACTGTCATTGGCTATTTAGCCTATATTTCTGCAGATGGTCTATTCAAGTAAGCTTGCTTTGTAGAAACAGGTACATTTCTTAAGCCCTAGTTCTCCAGTTTCTGCGCTCATTGGGAAACACTGCAGCTGGGATTGTTTAAAAAAACCCAAAAGGTTTTCACAGCTGGAAAGACAATTTAAGAATGAACATTTAGAAATGTTGTGTTAATCAACACTTGCTGGACAATGATTTTGTATGTGTGGGGCTGTGGAACAATGAACAGCTGAACTCTTCTAGGCAAGGTCAATAGAGAGAGCCTCTTGATAAACTGATGAGCTGGAACACAGCTATGCTCGGTGTGATTTTGTACTGGAAACATGAAATCCACTGGTTTTGCTGCCATGCTTATAATTGTTCTTTTTAGTAGTAACATTTCTCAAGGACAATGAAGTGGAGAAAAACCTGACATTTTCTGTAACATACAAAAAACTCATATGTTAAGTTAAAACTAACTAACATTGGAAGGTGTACACCTAGAGAGTAAAGATGCACTGATACATAGTGTCTTCAGCCCTGTTACCTGAATTTTTCTAGCCACAAATTGAGGTAACAGTCCTCCTCCATCCTGTATCACACAGTAGTTGTCAGGCCTCTGCCCAGCTAGCAAACAATCTACCTTAATTGACTGTAGTAAACAAGAAATTATATACAGACTTGTGTATTTAGGTTAGTATTAAGCTACTCCAATTCTTGGTTCTTTGTATATGAATTTCTAGGATAAGTAATTTCAAATGGCATAGGCTAATATTGTAATTGATATATTTTTGAGGAAATTGTATGCATGAAAGGTCTGAAAGAACCTTTGCTCTGTAGATAGCTTAAAATCCACTAAAATCACTGGGTCATTTAGTTAGCACAGGAAAAAGGTTTCAGTAGATTGAAATTGATGATGCTAAGTTGAAATGTTCTAATCAAATCTGAATATTAAGGATTGGTAGAGATATCTAACCTTACTATGTAAGTATCACTGTATAGACTGCAGGATCTGTTTTTTTACACCTTCTGTGCTTTTGTTAATGTTACAGATCTAAAGGAATCACTGACCCAGGAGTTCAGTTTCAATGGTTTGTTCAGACCCTTCTGTTTGGCTATGCTTCCTTTGGTCTTCTGGTGTCTTACAAACCTTCAGCCAAGAAGCAGTACTAGAAGACGGTGAAAGAAGTCACTTCCCACATTCTTCATCCTCATTTTTCAGAAAAGATCCTCATTGACATGT